AGTCTCTGATGTCCACCACAGCCTTTGGCCTGGGCTCCAAGTATTTTGCATTGTATGAGGTAGCAGGGGTGGGAATCCAGTGGCGGACCATCAGCCAGTCTCCGGTAGAGGGTGATGACTTTAACCTTGGTCTGTCCATGATGATGCTCATGATCGATGCCGGGGTGTATGGAGTGCTCACTTGGTACATAGAGGCCGTGCACCCAGGTATGATGAACCTCTAAATCTCTTTGCTGTTCTCAGTGTTTGACACATCTTCTCCGATTGATTAGATCAAATGTGTTTTTCCTCTCCTATAGGAATGTATGGGCTGCCCCGACCATGGTACTTTCCCCTGCAGAGATCGTATTGGTCAGGCAGTGTGCGTGTCGAGACCTGGGATTGGCCGTGGTGTAGGGGAGGGGCGGCCCGGCTCAGTGTGATGGAGGAGGATCAGGCTTGTGCTATGGACCAGCGTAGATCTGGTATGGAATAATGATTATTCGGAGCTGATGAGGACATCTTGTAGAGGATATTTTTATGTTCTATAGATCCACTTAACCAGGTTACACTTTAATAACAACATGTAAACCATCTTACTGATGTGATTGACAGAACCCCATCTTCTAACTTTAATTCCTTTCCTAACTTCTGACTTCCATTCGCCTAGTAAGCTTTTGTCCATGTTCAAACAGATAGTTTGGAACGACCAATCATTTAGGGTTATACTGTTACTTGATTTATTTGTGAGAAAATGTCACAATTTCAGCACGATGTTTTTTAGATGGCTAAATAGAGAACAGCTGTTTAATTGTTATATCAACAGGCTTGTTAATTAAGAGAAGGTATTATTATTGGCAGATACTTAAGGTTGCAGAATTGGAAATGTCAGGCCAGCATATGCAAAAGTGATCAGGAAAGTGAAAGTGACATAAGTAAAATGAGACTGTTAAGACAGTTAAAATATTCGGAATGTTTTATTTAATTTGTAACTCTCTCATTGTAACACTAGAGGAGATGCGGGGCATAGAGAAGGAGCCGAGCCATCTCTCGTTGGTGGTGTGTATAGACAAACTCACCAAAGTGTACAAGACCGGCAGCAAACTGGCCCTGGACAAACTGAGCCTTAACCTCCATGAAAACCAGGTGGTCTCCTTCCTGGGACACAACGGCGCTGGCAAGACCACAACCATGTGAGGGGATTAGTGTGTGTGCGTGTGCATGTGTGTGAGGATTAAAGTCTGAAGACCATTGTTCAACTTTAATATGATTTTTTAATTCAAATGTTAAGTACACATTCTGTTTAAACTAAAAATACATTTCACATTTTAAGAACCTGATAACTAGGTTTCAATACTTCCTTCAATGTCTACAAAACACCTGAGGGCTGTTTGATATGCTGTAGCTGCACCAGAAGCATGAAAACATAAGCATCTGTCAGATGTTTATGAGTAAAGAACGAGTATTTTTAAGTCAGCAGTTATATTTTATGAAAGTTATCAAACTACATACATTTTTGCCCAAAATATCAAATAAGGTGCACAAGATCAAATATACTGTATAGAGGTGAACCACATCAAAGCGTGCTTGGATTGCCTGCCTGTTTAACCGCCACTGACTGCCTGCACTGGATTGTCACAGGTCCATCCTCACTGGCTTGTTCCCGCCCACCTCTGGTTCTGCCACCATATATGGTCATGACATCCGAACAGATATGGAGCGGATTCGTCAGAACCTGGGCATGTGTCCACAGCACAATGTCCTGTTTGACAAGCTGAGTGTGGAGGAGCATCTGTGGTTCTACTCCAGACTGAAAGGCATGGCTGAGGAGGATATCCGCAAGGAGATGGACAAGTGAGACCAGTCTGCTTCCTGCAGTTCAATGTCTCTAACGCATAGAATTATGATTAGCTTATAGCACTGTATAATTGTATTTATAAGCACATTTCATAATGACTTATAATGTCAAGTATTATAATACTTGAATTGCTGCTCCCTCAAAAATTAAACACATTTTAACGTAGATCAGGGGTGTCCAAATTACGGCCCGGGGGCCAAAAGCGGCCCGCGGACAATTTTGAATCGGCCCTCAGCTAATTCAAAAAGTATAATGAAATATGGCCCATAAATGAAACTTCTGCTTGTCTTATATTGTACTTCTTACATATATATGTTCAAATATATTACACAGTATTCATGTCTTAATAAGCCACATTTTCAAATAAATTCAGTCAATTAAAGTTTATATTTTTTTCTAACAAATCTAAGTTCATAAGAAATAAGCTCAACAACAAATTATAACAACCTTGAAATATACCCTTCATATTTCCTCTCTATTATAAGCGATCTGAAGCTTGTGTTTTAAGGAATAAGCCGACAACCCAATAAATGAAACCCTATGGAGAGCTGAGATGTAGGCTGTTTTTAAAGCATTTTCAAGTATCAAGAGTAGTTTACCTACATTTGATGGATGTTTCTAACTTATGAGGCAATATACCTCACCTCTAGTGAGTGGCCCAGCCCTTCATGTGTTTTTCTGTATGTGGCCCTTGGTGAAAAAGTTTGGACACCCCTGACTTAGATCAATTACATTTCAATGAATTATAAAAATGTATATTATAAAATCTATGGAAATTATATTATTGTATTGTATTATGTTATATTGTACACATTATAGCAAGCTTGGTTATTGTTAAAAATCCATATGGAATACAGTACATGCTTGTATCTTTAATATTACAGTGCTATCATAGCACTGCTATGATAAAATTATAATGCATGTTTGTTATGCATTTTAGACATGGATGTCATATTCAGAGTTACCGTTCATTCTTATCATTCGATGATGTGACAGATGCAAAAAAAGTTACACAACTAGTACCTAGAGTAGGTATTTACTCAATACATTCTCAAATAGACGGGGGGTCTTTATTCACCTGCAGGGGCCTTTTTTGGAACAGAATTTATTTTCTCTTCCACAGCCACTTATTAATAGTGAATACACTCTGGTAGTTAAAAAATAAACAAGTGATACACTTTCACACACAAGTTCTGTTTAATGTTTCCCAATAAAAGGTTTGCCAACCGGCTCAAAAATATCCTGGAAGGGAAGGACTATCCTAGCTCTTATTGTGAAATAGAGAAAAGAGAAAGGTTTAAGTTTCACTGATTGTAACTAACAGTACTGAAAAACAGCAAATTAGATTAATTTATGATGAATGATTTAGAATAATTATGAAATAAAAATATTTCTGTTAACATAAGAACAGGATGGGCAGAGATGGGAGAATTAAATGACGTCTCCAGGAAACGCATGTACTATAAGTCACTGACGTGATGTATACATGGGGGGGGTGTGTGTGTGTGTGTGTGTGTGTGTGTGTGTGTGTGTGTGTGTGTGTGTGTGTGTGTGTGTGTGTGTGTGTGTGTGTGTGTGTGTGTGTGTGTGTGTGTGTAGGATGATTGTTGACCTGGAGTTATCTAAGAAGCGCCACAGCTTGGTGCAGACGTTGTCCGGCGGGATGAAGAGGAAGCTGTCGGTGGCCATTGCCTTTGTGGGCGGCTCCAGGGCGGTGATCCTGGACGAACCCACAGCGGGGGTGGACCCCTACGCTCGCAGGGCCATCTGGGACCTCATCCTCAAGTACAAACAGGGTGAGTGGAGACCCGGTACCAGAGCACACCACGACCTATTCTCAAAGATATCACTGCAAGGCAGGTCGCATTGAAAAAAGATGCTTGTGGCACTCTTACATGCTAATCTTAAAGACTGCATGTAAAACAAGACCTATTCATATATGTTTTGGATTTCTTTACATAATTCCAAATGTTTTCAACAGTTTCCTCTGTTGTCTTAGTTGGTTGCCTGTAATAAGGATTTATGTGTCAGGGTTGTTTGTCTGCGAGAAGATGTCATAAATTGAAAATGTCTCTTATTTTGTCATAAGACAACTGGATCTGAAATAATCAGAGAAAAACTGAGTAAGGTTTGCTGCAGAAGAACAGCCTGGGAGGAACATTCCACTCCACACAGAGGAATTCTGTGTGTGTTCAGTGTGAATCTAAACAAAGACAAGCTAACTGCCATCAGAAACTCCTGTGATCCAGGGCTACAGTGGCGGCGCTAGGGGGTGTATATTTGGGCTCAAGCCCCGGATGTTTTCTGAAAAGCCTCGAATGTTTCACTTGAAGTTATTCTTTTTTTCTTTTTTTAAACGTCTCGTGTAATGTGCTGTACCGGAGTCCAACAGAGAGGCAGAAGCTGCAGCCCCCCCCCCCTCAACAACATCAAAATTCTGGGCTAAGCCCCGGATCTCCTACGATCCTAAATCCGCCACTGCAGGGCTACCTCACAACTTCCATCTTTCTTATGGTTTTGAATTGAGAGACTCCTAGTGGCAGAACATTTAAAATGTTTACATTATGGTTCAGATCCAGTGTTTTTTTAATTTCTGTTTTATAATTGCAGTATGTGTGTGTTCCACCTCCGCCCTAGGCCGCACAATACTCCTGTCCACCCACAATATGGATGAAGCAGACCTTCTGGGAGACCGCATTGCCATCATCTCCCATGGGAAACTAAAGTGCTGTGGCTCGCCACTCTTCCTGAAGAGCACATACGGAGACGGATACAAACTGACTCTGGTTAAAAAGCAGAATGAAGGCAGAGGTGTGTGCCCTTTCTCCATACCCGCTCTAACCTGCTCTTATTGTCACTTGTTCCACCTGTTAGGTTGTCAGACTGGAAATCATGGACACTTTTACAGTCAAACTGATAGTAGCATAGGAGATGCCAATCATCAAACCACTGGCATCTTTCTCTTAGGTTCTTCTCAACAACAATATAAGTCATATTGCGTTTTAGATATGACCTATATTGTTGTTGTTTTGTATTTGCTGGGTTACTTGGAAAGGCCATTAATTGGCATGTGAAAGGTACATATCATTTTGTGATATTGTCACTTCTTGTTTTGGTTTTATTATTTTTTATTGACATGGCTATGCCTTGGGTTTTAGCCTCCAGGGTTCCCATCAGATCCCATTCTGATTCTGAACTTATGACAATGTAATATCATGGAATACATGTTGTTTTGTTGTTTGAATGTATTTGTGGTTGTTAGGGGTGTAACGGTACACGTACCCGTACCGAAATTATTCGGTACGGGCCCTTCGGAAACGAATATAACGTTAAACTTAAAACATTGAGAACGTGAACAACATTTTGGAAGTAATCTCAGGTGCTGCGTCGCAGCATTCAGAGTAATTTGCTCACATTGGGTTCAACGCGTCATAGAGCGAGCAAGTCATTTCATTGGACGAGAGGCATACTATGAGAGCTGGTCACAGGGATGTGTTCAAATGTAGTCAGTAATTTGAGGAACTGTTGAAATGGCGAACGCAGATAAAGTTGAGCTCGAAAATCCTCCAGCATCATTGAAGTCTCCGGTTTGGGAACATTTTGGTTTCGCAGTTACGTACAAGGATGACGGACAAAGACACGTGGACCGAACCAAAGCCGGCATTGTTCAACTAAAATTGGTTACGCGGCTGGCAATACATCAAACTTGCACACTCATTTGAAAAGGCATCACCCGAACGTGAATATCACCGGTACCAAAAGAAAAAAGACTGAAGTGCAAACCCAACTCCCACTAGCATTCAAGCCTCCACCACTCGCAAAAAGTTCAGACGGAGCCAAAGCTATTACAAATGCCAAATATCCTTATGTTGCCATGTTAGCAAAGCGCTACCTGGCTGTATCTGCTACCTCTGTCCCTAGCGAGAGGGTGTTCTCCACAGCAGGAGACATTGTTAGTGCCAGCAGATCTGCCCTTTCGGCAAGCAATGTGGACAAGTTAATTTTTCTTTAAAAAAACATGAAAATACAATGACAAGCAAGTCATAATGTCAAACTGGCTGCTTAGGTACTAGTACAGTACAGTTCAAATACAGATTATTTCAGTTCATCGAAATGCTGCACCTTAATGTTTATTTTATTATATTTTGTATTTATTTGAGTGAATATTCACAGTTTAATAATAATTTTTAAAAAAACAAAA